TTCGTGACTCAGACTTTCGTCGACGTTTTTCACACTCTTCTTCTATTTGCTCATTGATTATGTCTGTGAACGTGTTACGGTTTCGCATGATATTTAATTGCCCTTCTACTTTGTGCTTTCTTCGACAAGTGGTGTGTCTGAAAGATTTCTAGCGAAAATACCCACGAAACTATTGAACCAAAATCTCTTTCAAAACTCTGTATCCGAAAGCATGTAGGGAAAGTTTGTTTATGTTTCAGATGTATCAAACACAGATAACCCGTGTTGGTCTAGCGGTTGTGGCTCCAACTGTTTACACACCGCCAGAACACACAAAGAAATAGACGTGCTAAAACGAATAATCATGGTAAGAAAATACTTGATTTTTTCCATAAAGTGTCACAATCTCATCGATTTATTTAGGAGGTTCGGTGGGGAATGGACCCGCGAAAGACGAAATACTGATACAATTCAAAATAGTAAGTTAGAAAACAACATAAAACTCATAAAATTGTCTTTTCCACTTGTCGTTAGATCCACGTTCTTCACAAAGAAAGGATGTACCGTCAACACTTCAATCTCAACGTATGTTGTACTTTGTATGCTCTCAAAATCTCTTCTCTAACTGAAGCATGTTCAGATTTATTTAAACGACCTCCTCTAACCAAAAAACGAGCAAATGATAAAACGCGGCGAAATTTCAAGAATATTGGAAACTTGGAAGGTTTTGACGAGAAAGATGATTATCATAATCAAATGAATAAGAACAAGAATAAATCCTCTATTTGTCTATTTTTATCTAAATCTTATGCCACAAAATGACTTGTCCATTTAGGGAATACACATTGGCCAAAAGACGATATCAATGGGGACTATGATTTGAATGTAGATGATGAATATACTCAACAAAATCAGCAAAATCCAGAAGACGATGGTTTCGAGGAAGGGGAAGATCAACAAGATGTTGTCGAAGAATGGGAAGAAGAACCACCTGGTACAAAGCTTTTTGTGATCTACTATTCATCTTGTCTACACTCATTTTTATCATTCCAGTTCCAAGAAAAAGAAAAAAGTTTTGTTCGTCAAATGGCAATACTGATGAATCATCTCGGAAACGTGATTATTTACAGTTGTTACGTTAAGGTAAAAGTTATTTTGCCCTGGCTCCAGCCTTTCTACTTGTATTATTTCTATTTTAGATATTGAAAACGTATCGACGAAATTGAATAACAATATTCAGGAGCATATGACAACGTTTGACAAGAAGTTTAAGCGCTTGTCGGCTGTCTGAGCGCAATCAGTAAGTAATTAGCTTAAAAAGTGATGTACTGTCTTTCACGCCGTCTTTCTAGTTACAATCAAATGTTTCTCAATATCAAAGTGATCATAATGAGAAATTTCCTACAATTGTTGTAAGTATCTTTCACGTGTATTTCTTATGTATTGTAGCCTTTCACTATTGACCTAGTATAAGGACGTATTCTATGAAATTAATCAATGCACATACCAAGATTTTATCGTTTCAGGAATTCAGGGGTGAGAATCTCTTGGATCATTTCGCAAAGGACTACAAGACGTATGCCAGAGATGTTTTGAAGAAAATATTCACACTACACGAATTAGCCGAATCAATCGTATTAGAAAATAAGAGATTTTCACGACCTCCATTAGAACCTGCTCGATTTCAAATACTGAAAGGTATAGCTATTTTCTGTCGAAGAATCACTAATATTATTTTCTTTTTTAGATGCTATTCGTTCAAAGTACAGAATATCGTTGAATCAATGGGATGCATTTTATAAAAATGGTCTACAACGAACATTATCGCAATTATTATGTGATTCAAGAATAAAGTTAAAGAAGCAGCAACAAATAATGTTATCGACTCCGCTACCTCCAGCAGCAAGTACAACGATGGGCACAGACAGTCAGACAGACTAGACAGGGTTATTTTTTTTTTTTTTTTTATATTTTATTAGTTTTATTTTTATTTTATTATTGTTATTCATTGTGGATTTTTATAAAATTTTCAAGTATACGTTATTTTTAATTTTTATTTTTGTATGTTGTTTTGATTTATCTAATAAACATAAATAGTTAAACAGCTTTTAAACCAAGCAACTTTTGTATCTATTAAGAGATACAAAAGATTGAGAGTAAACTAACACGGAACAGAAGCCGCAGACCAGCTAGATAGAAACAGTATGAATCATGTGTTATTTGTACGTAAGATCGCATCTGATCGTACACAATCATACGTACGATCTTTTGGAATCATAGGATTTCGTACGTACGATCTTGTAAGATCAGATAAGATCGTACGTATGGTAGTTGTACGAATCGTATAATCCGAACCCTGTGACTTTTCCGGGCCCACGATTCGTAGGTCGATCGTACCATTTCATATGTATGAAGTAATATGATTATTCCAGGTCATATCTGCTCATGTACGATCATACAGTATGATCATGTCTGATCTCATACGATTCTTCGACCGGGGTAGCAACTGTTTTATCAGGATTGATTGATAAACAATCTTCTGGTCTGACAATTAAACGTTTTTTAATAGTACCAAGCCATATTAAATACGCGTCATCGTTAGTTGTTGTGACTTTCACCGAAGACGACAATCTTGTTTTTTCTATTTGTTCAGGTGGTGTGTATTTGTTAGGTGGATTTATTGTTCGGACTTTTTGGACCGCTTCATCCTTAAGCGGCACCTTAACTGGCGTCAGGAAGTACGTCAGAACATACTCTCGGACATTTCTAAAAAATTGTCGTTTCCCAGACTAGTCCGGATGGGGTGCTCGGACATTTTGGACTAGTCCGGACGCCAGTCAGCCACGTTTTTCTTTACCTGAGAAGTTAGCCATGCTTGACATAAAAAGAAATTGATATAATAATTATTCCGTTTGGAAAGTCAAATATAATGCTGTGCTTTACAAGTTTCTTTACAGGGATACATCAGCTTAACGGACACAAACATTTTTCTAATACAACGAAAAATGTGTAAAAAGATGCGGTGTGCTGTAGTATTGTGAACTTTTAAAATAATCACTGACTAATTTCTTTGGTACAAATTTCTGAGCAACAGCATGTTTCATCATTATGTCTAAAAAATACTTGAATTCGACCGAATATGAATTGCTTATTCACTGCCAAATCGTCTTGTAACCGAGCAAAAGAACTGATAGAAGATGGTGCACTTTCCATAAAATGTCGAATGAAACATCTGCTGATGTACAGTACATCGGCGGTACGGATACATCGATGAATTAGTGAACAATTACAAATCCGTTTATCAAATGTTCTGAGAGCATCAAATTCATAACTTTGTTCATCCGTATATGGATCATAGGGACCATCTGCCAATGTTTTTTTATCATTGGCTGAATTACTAAGGTAATATCAATATTGTAGTAATAAACAATAAGATCGCCAAAATATAGAGTTCCATGTCTATTCGATGCAATTTACCCGATAAGGTCTTCTTGTGCAAATGTGTTAATATAACATAATGCAGCATGAAGATCAAACATATCAGCGTAATGTGCATGTAAATGAAGAACGTAATTCTCCAATTCATCGAAAAACGCAGAATGATCACGGTAAAATGTCATTAAAAGTTCATCTGCTATTGCACTTGTTCATTTTCCAAATATAGCATGACTATGAATTGTATGAATGCCACAGATAAATAAAGCCATGTGTGCTGCCAGATTAATTTCTATGACTGAATAAAAACGTGGTTAAAAATCCGTATAACAACAAATTACGTAATTCTGGTGCCTGGATATATGAAAAGTCTTCAGTGCCGCGCATTTTCTATTAAAAAAATGTGGGAATGTTGTGTTCTTAACTCGTAATCAACTTGTTTCCGTACAGCTGGTATTAACATGACACTTATTTGTGTTACGGCGTCACGAAAATGACGCAGTAATGTTGCATGCTGATAATTAACTAGAATTGATTGTGGTAGTGGAATATCGAGAATAATTTTCAAAATACTTATCCCTACAGTCACCAATCACACCATACCCATGAAGTTTTTTTCGATAAAATATTGCGATTAGAGGCGATATTTTGTATCTTATATCTCGATAGGTCTTAACTCTATCGAGACGCCACGTTAAACCGCTATAAAAAAATTTATCGCGATATACCATGCGGAATGAGTTAGCGGTTTCTGTCCGATGAAATTTTTATCGAAATAAAGATCTCCAATTGCGATAAAGCATCTTATCGAGATAATAATCTGTCGGGATGCAAAGCGAAACGTTTATATCGCGCGATATGTCACGATAAAGTTCCGTGTGGCGATCTAACGTGGCGTCTCGATAGATTTAATCCCAATCGAGATATAAAAACTGTTGAGGACTATGACGATTACTAATTTTATCGCTATATAGTCTGATACCGTGGTCATGCTGCAATGTATCTTAATAATAGAAAATTCTATCGCTGTTTTACAAGACGCAATGTTGTGGAAAACAGTACGATTATTAAGTTTTCGGCCAAGCTAGAGGTAGATGTGGTAAGAGATGTTAGACTTGCTGGAATAGACTGCTTATTAACTTAAGCGTCGAATTTGACGGATCACATCTAACCGGTCTTATCTTCGGGATGTGACCCGTCGAAGTCATAATGTAAACTGTTGTTGAATAAATAAAATATACCTGAAAGTAAGCAATAAACAAAAGTAACACTGTAACAAAGAAAGTAAATAGGAAATCTGAGTTTTTTCAAAGAAAAACATCGCTAAAGGACTTCTAAATGCACTTCGCGATGAAAAGACCAAGGAGTTTCGTTCCGTACTGGCTGTACGAAACTCGGCTGATTTTTTTCAGTACAGTATATAAAAAAGGAACTTTATAGAAAACAAGCTGAAGAAAATAAGTAAAAATTGCAAGTCGTTAAGTTATTGTTCTCTTTTGGAAGGCGCCGTCCACGTAAAATTCATTCACAAAAAATTATTTCGATCGGCATAACATCTGACAGACTTTAGGTTTGAAGCGTTGTCTGAGGAAGAATATTTTCTTTCGGTTTTAAAACTGCCACGAAGAAAATAGTTCATCTTTGAGACAAAAAAATAACTCGCTTCTGCTACAGAAATTGCTGTGTACGTACCAATGACAACAGTCAAATAGTTAGGCTGATTCGATTAACTGCAACAAAACAAAATAAACACGGGCAGAATACACTCTTTGAGTGTTATTGTGTTATTCATCACTCGAAAGAAGTAAATAAAGTTGAATGAAAAGCGCTTTGCACCCTTGCAAAAAGTAAAGAAATTACCACTTGAATTGTATTAATGTATATCTGTTATATACGTTAAAAGAGAACGAAGGATAAACACAGTGGACGATAATATACTCTCACTGTCTATCTATTTTTCTTCTTTTGACGGATAGACGAAATAAAAAAAAACATGGAAAAAAGCTGAAAAGATCGAAAAAAAAATTGCCGAATGGAGCCCGTATACTAAAATTTCGATAAAAATAGTAGAAATGATCCCGAATTTAGAAAAAAAATATTTTCGACAGAATTGATCCCGGAAAACTTTTTTCTTTCTGTGAACGACAGAATTGAACCCGGTTGACGTGTGGTGCGAATGTAAAGACGGCGTTGAGACATAAACAATAGCAATGTGTAGCGGTCACATCTTTTTTCACTCACATCAGTTTTGACTATTACTATCACTATTAAACAAACTATGGCTCGAAAGACATGGCTATTAGTTTTTACGTGTGCAAACGAAACTGATTTATTAAGTTTTATCAAAACTCAAGGTGTCTGCAAAAATCGAACTGAACAATTCATTGGTGGTTTATCAATTCCATATAAATGTTCACAGTACCGAAAATATCCGCTATGCGAGTATGAATTGAAAGCTAAACAATCTTCTGATGGTATTTTCACATTTATGCATCAAATTCTCATTCTCACAATGAACGTTACCAAACAACACGTGTTCCATCTCCTGTGCGTGATAATATTCGTCTAATGTATGAAAATGGTTTGACACCAGTACAAATAAAGAAGGCAGTTAAGGTGACATATCCACAAGTAACAAGCGACACACAAATTCAAGATGTTGCTCGATGGCATAGACACAAAAGTCGTAGTTCGATGAAGTTTATTGAAGATTTACAGTTGTGTTGTGCTCAGCGTAATTTATGTCCAACATCAGATAAACCTCACGTTGTATTTGTACCATACTATGAGGTAATTGATATTGAACACATATTTATTTGTTTAACAACACGTCAGTTATTATCCACATGTCAACACTCATCTGTACTACTATCCATTTCAAAAAAGAAGAAGCACGGCCATTTCTTTGATAACTTTTTCTAAGAAGCAGCTAAAAAGGTGCGGTTTTCAGTATCGGAAAGCGAAATGTTGGGGTAATATGAAAAACTAAA